CTTGAATTTTTTTAATTTACCTATTATGGTCCAATGTCCAAAATCAAAATACATGGTTAGATTCAGCATATCAAAGAACCCCATATATTCAATTTTTGTTAAAATCAAACAAAGTTTAATTTTGGACCCCAACTTGGACAAACTTGAAAACTGGGCCCATAATCAAAAATCTAAACACATGTTTAGATTCAGCATATCAAAGAACCCCAAGAATTCAATTGTTGCTAAAATCAAACTAAGTTTAATTTTGGACCCTTTGGACCTTAATGTAGACCAATTTAAAAAACGGGACTTAAAATTAAAAATCTAAATACACGGTAAGATTTGGAATATCAAAAAACCCCAATAATTCAATTTTTGATGAAATCAAACAAAGTTTAATTTTGGACCCTTTTGACCTCAATATGAACCAATTTGATAGCGGGGCCCACAAATAAAAAATCTAAGTTCATGGTTAGATTCAGCATATCAAAGAACCCCATATATTCAATTTTTGTTGAAATCAAAAAAAGTATAATTTTGGACCCCAACTTGGACCAACTTGAAAACTGGGCCCATAATCAAAAATCTAAACACATGTTTAGATTCAGCATATCAAAGAACCCCAAGAATTCAATTTTTTTGTTAAAATCAAACTAAGTTTAATTTTGGACCCTTTGGACCTCAATGAAGACCAATTTAAAAAACGGGACCCAAATTAAAAATCTAAAAACACGGTTAGATTTGGCATATCAAAGAACCCCAATAATTCAATTTTCGATGAAATCAAACAAAGTTTAATTTTGGACCCTTTTGACCTCAATATGAACCAATTTGATAGCGGGGCCTACAAATAAAAAATCTAAATACATGGTTAGATTCAGCATATCAAAGAACCTCATATATTCAATTTTTGTTGAAATCAAACAAAGTTTAATTTTGGACCCCAATTTGGACCAACTTGAAAACTGGGCCCATAATCAAAAATCTAAATACATGTTTAGATTCAGCATATCAAAGAACCCCATATATTCAATTTTTGTTGAAATCAAACAAAGTTTAAATACTGGACCCTATCTTGGACCAACTTGAAAACTGGGCCCATAATCAAAAATCTAAACACATGTTTAGATTCAGCAAATCAAAGAACCCCAAGAATTCAATTTTTGTTAAAATCAAACTAAGTTTAATTTGGACCCTTTGGACCTCAATGTAGACCAATTTAAAAAACAGGACCCAAAATTAAAAACCTAAATACACGGTTAGATTTGGAATATCAAAGAACCCCAATAATTCAATTTTAGATGAAATCAAACAAAGTTTAATTTTGGACCCTTTTGACCTCAATATGAACCAATTAGATAACGGGGTCCACAAATAAAAAATCTAAATACATGGTTAGATTCAGCATATCAAAGAACCCCATATATTCAATTTTTGTTGAAATCAAACAAAGTTTAATTTTGGACCCCAATTTGGACCAACTTGAAAACTGGGCCAAAAATCAAAAATCTAAATACATGTTTAGATTCAGCATATCAAAGAACCTCATATATTCAATTTTTGCTAAAATCAAACAAAGTTTAATTTTGGACCCTTTGGACATTAATGTAGACCAATTTGAAAACTGGACCCAAAATTAAAAATCTAAATACACTGTTAGATTCGGCATAACAAATAAATAAATGTGATCAAAGATTTTACAAATCTAATGCGCCATACTTTGCAATTAAAGATTACTTCTTGAAATTTTTCAATATTTGAAATTTGAAAAAAAAATAATATTTGAAGAATAATTCTTTTAATTTCTGAAATCTGAAATGAGAAAAAATTGGCCCCCCACAATTTCTTTTTATCCCCCCCCACCCCCTTTTTCCCCCAAAAAAATTCTTTCCCTCAAGATATGGTCATAATCTCAATTCAAATTTCCAATGGAGTTGGCAACCATAATTACCCATTTAAATTTACCATAGTGCTAACTTAATCTATTTTATAATAGAATTAATAAAAATATAGTGTCAAATCTTTCATATGGATTTTTTTGTAAAAAAAAAAGATGAAAACATTTGCAGATATTTTTACTGGTCTTCCTTTATAAATATGCATTTCTTTAAACATAATTTAAAAGCAGTGTAAGGGAAGTAACCAAAACGTTGTATTTGGATTACCTCCCTTACACTGTTTTAGATTATCTTTATTGTTCATTAACCATTACTTTATACATAATTTAAAAGCAGTGTAAGGGAGATAATTTCAATGATGTATTTGATTTATCTCCCTTACACTGCTTTAAATTATGTTTTGTACTAAAGTAATTGTCCATTAACCAGGACAACCTTGTTTTTCCCCCTTTTTTGCCCCTAATTCCTAAACGGTTTGAGCCATAACCCCCCAAAGCAAATCCTAACCATCCCTTTGTGGTATGGAAACTTGTAGTATAATTTCAGAGAGATCCATACACCGTTCCACAGTTATTGTCTGGAAACTAGAAAATGCTCATTTTTGGCCCCTTTTTGGCCCCTAATTCCTTAACTGTTGGTACCATAACCCCCAAAATCAATCCCAACCTTCCTTTTGTGGTATTTAACCTTATGGTCAAATTTCAAAAAGATCCATTCACTTAAACTAAAGTTAGAGTGCGAAAACCAATATGTATTCGGACGACGACGCCGGACGACGACGACGACGACGACGTCATACCAATATACGACCACAAAATTTTTTTGCGGTCGTATAAAAACTGCAAAATTTTAGTAAAATTACTAACTCAGGGGCAGCAACCCAACAACGGGTTCTCGGATTCGTCTAAAAATTTCAGGGCAGATAAATCTAAATCTGATGAACATTTTTGCCACCTGTCAGATTTGCTCTAAATGCTTAAGTTTCAGAGATATAAACCAAAAACTGCATTTTACCCCTATGTTCTATTTTTAACCAAGTCGGCCATGATGGTTGGAAGGCGGGGTCATCGGACAAATCTTTTAAACTAGATACCCTAATAATGATTATGGCCAAGTATGGTTAAATTAATTTGTCTCAGTAGTTTCAGAGAAGAAGATTTTTGTAAAAGATTACAAAAATTTACAAAAAATTGTTAAAAATTGACTATTAAGGGCAATAACTCCTAACATGCCTAAAGGGGTCGACTGACAATTTTGGTCATGACAACTTATTTGTATATCTTACTTTGCTGAACATTATTGCTGTTTACAGTTTATCTCTATTTATAATATATTCAAGATAATAACCAAAAACTGCAAAATTTCCTTAAAATTACCAATTCAGGGGCAGCAACCCAACAACAGGATGTCAGATTTGTCTGAAAATTTCAGGGCAGATAGATCTTGACCTGATAATCAGTTTGACCCTATGTCAGATTTACTCTAAATGCTTTAGTTTCAGAGATATAAGCCAAAATCTACATTTTACCCCCATGTTCTATTTTTAGCCATGGTGGCCATCTTGGTTGGTTGGCGGGGTCATCGGACACATTTTTTAAACTAGATACCCTAATGATGATTGTGGCCAAGTTTGGTTAAATTTGGCTTAGTGGTTTCAGAGGAGAAGATTTTTGTAAAAAGCTAACGACGACGGACGACAACGACGGACGCAAAGTGATGAGAAAAGCTCACTTGGCCCTTCAGGCCAGGTGAGCTAAAAAAGCATCAAGATTTGTTCATAATAACTACTCAGACCGAACACCTGGCTGTGTAACACACATGGTTAAACAATTACAGTGGGAAAGCCTGGAAGAACGTAGGAAAACCAACAGACTATGTATGCTATTTAAAATCCAGCACAGGCTAATCGATATAGATAGACAACAATATCTAATACCCAACGACAGCCGGACCAGAGGTATAGGCCGCTTTTACCAAGAAAGAACAAAAACTGACACCTATGGACAGTCATTCTTCCCAAAGACCATCAGGGATTGGAATCAACTTCCAGCTAAAACAACATCGACTGACTCGATAGAGGGATTCAGAGCTGCTCAGAAAGCAGGATCTGATAGGAAGTAAACAGCATAGCATGTACACATGTAAATAATTTTAATTGTAAATTGGCGAACGTTTTAAATGTAAATAACTTTGAGAAGACTTGCTGCCTTGCCCGGCACTGCGCTAAGTTTTCGCGGGACCATACACATTCAATATGAATTCGGTTCCTTACTTGGAAGAAGAAGAAGAAGAAGACATATATTTTTTTGGGGCCTTACATGAAGATAAATAAAACAGCCTCTAAACAAGACAAATAACCAAGTTATTGTTTTGAATTTGGTCTACCATGTTACTTTCTCCATATTTCTGTTGTTTCATAATTACCATACTAACTCATACCCATACCCTAAACCCTCAAACTGCTGGTAGTTTTTTAAAGTTCTGGTTGCATTTCGTGTGCCAGAAAATACGATAGATCAATGTCTGAGATGCGCATGCCCATCAATGACGTCACATCCTTACGTCCGTTACATTTGGGACCCATTGAAGAAAAATATTGCACTGTTTAAAACTTCGCCTTCCGTCTTTTATTTGAAAGTATGGAGGTCGCCAATGCGATTCGTAATGTTATGATTTCCTTGGGACGGAATAAAAATCAAATTTTACCCAAATTCGATTGCTTAGAAAATGGTGAAAAATATATTGAATGACGAAAAAAGTGATACATTATTAAAGTTTAGATGTTTATATATCTAAATATATTAAGTTTTATGGGTATTGGAGTGATTGGGATGAAAGAGATACAGCAATGATCAGAAGCTTGCATCAAATAAAACAAGGACATATATGCTTCTACAGCACAGCCGGTGTGGGCACATTATGTCCCTCCGACAGCAAAAATGTCAAATCTTACTCTAACCTATAGAACACCGCTCACCTAACCGTTTACCCTAACCCTAAAGAGAAGGGACCCCTCATCGCCTATATTGGCTACAATTATAAAAGAAAGAAGGCCATGATAACATAAAGTATTAAATGGGATTGTTAAATTGTTATTCTTCTCTTCAAAATTCTATTCACCTCAATAGCACCCGATGTTAGATCTGGAGCCATTCTGTGTTGTTTTTCGGATAATGCTTTGCCGGCTTTCTGCTTTATTTGCTGATTATTGCTTATTCCCGCTAAATGTATAGCTTACTACGCATGCGGCAATTGTATTTCTCTTTCCGGTTGGGTTACACTAATGTCCTGACAATGTCCTGACAATGTCCTGACAAAGTCCTGACGGATATGAAAATGCTAATTACGTTTTCATTATATAAAGGATTTACTTTAAATTTGGAACCAAGCAAGATGACAACATTAATCTAATAAATAAAAGAAAAAATATTAAAAAAAATATTTTTAAGAGTTAGAAAACTTGACCTGACCAACTTCGACTTTGAAATCACTAATGTCCTGACCGATATGAAACGGCTAAATACTTTTTTATTATTTACAGGATAGACTTCAAATTCGATATCAAGGAAGATTAAAACATTTAATCCAAAAATATAAGAAAAAAATGAAAAAAAAATAATTTTTAGAGTTAGAAAACTTGACCTGACCAATACGATTTTGCCGCGACTAATGTCCGGACCGATATAAAACTGCTAATTTCTTTTTTATCTTTGGAAGGATTAACTTCAAATTTAGTAGCAAGGAAGATTTCGACATTTAACAAAGAAATAAAAAGAAATGAAAAGAAAGCAAATATTCAAAAGACCAAAAAACTTGACCTGACCAACATAGGCTATTCACCAAAAAAAGACATGTTCGTTTAAAAAATAGAAAGACTATGTATATTTCTTAAATAAATGTCTTTAAGTTTGATAAATATCAATATTTTATTAAATATTTAAATGACAAAAAGAAAAAAATGTGAACAAGTATTGCAAGGGTAAAAATATATTGACCTGACATTGTCGAACTTGTCCTGATCAATTTTCTAACTGAAAGAAAATGTTAACCTCTTACCTTAAATTATTGAAATTGAAAATATCCGATCACAATGATATTACAACATTGAACGCAGAAAGATACTGTTGAAATGAAACGAAAGAGAAATATTAGAACCAGTTGCTGAATGTGAGTATTGTTTATGCATGTTAACTTTCTGTTATTGCTCTAATTGTTTATCTGATTAGGGGCTTGTTATGATTAGATTAATCACCTACTTGTTAATCCAATTAATTAATTATGAACGTGAACTGTGACCAGCTATTATTAAGACTGATAATTTATGATAAACAATACATTGGTATTTATGGGCTTCTACAAGCTTTGGTGATTGCTTTTTAAAAGTGAACATTAGTTACTTACAGTTATAAATATAATACATATTTTTAGTCTCTTTCAAAAGTTTTCATAGTGCTCTAATACATACAACCTCAGTGCTTTTTATTCGAATTGATATATTGCTTTAGTGCTATTTTTCTTTGTATATAAATCTCCTTGCTTTTGTTTAGTGTAATTAATTGTAGAAAATTGTAAATATATTTTTTGTGCTTTTGTTACATATTACTTGATTCTAATCATGTCTTCATTTCCAGTGCTGATTGCTGGCCATTCCCAGGCCAAGTATTTTAATCAATATTTATCTTTATCTGAAACTAATGTGCTTTCTTATTCAGGTTTTCGTATTGACCAGATGTTCAACGAACTGCAACCAACCATCGACAACTACAACACCGTGGTACTTCACGTTGGCGCCAACGACCTCTCCCGTGGTTCATCAGTAAAGACTCTACTCAGGAAATACCAACAACTGACATCAGACATTTGGCACAGCAACCCAACAGCAGACATCATCATATCTGGAGTCCTACCTAGAGCCGACAACCAATTCCCAGGGGCACTTCTGCGCACCAACTTCCTAACGGAACTCAACCAGAGAGCTCGGCTACTCAATACCAAACTACAGTTACTAGCTACCCGAGTTCCAAGACTCCACTACGTTGGTCACCCGTCATTCGCCCAGAAAGGTACTATCCAGAGACACCTACTCAGTCGAGATGGTCTTCATCTAAGCTACCGTGGTACATCAACTGTGGTGAAAGACATCGAGAGCGCCATTCGTCATCTACGCAAAACCAAGGATACTCATGACAGCATCTGGGAACTACCAACGTCAACACCAACGTCAACACCAACGCCAACACCAAAAGCACCTACACCAATGCCTGACCCAACTGAACCAGCTGTAGACCAATCACTGTACCGAACTGCACTACTCACTTTACCGATACGAACACCAACACCAACACCAACACCAAAACCAGTACTAACTTCAACAGGTATTCAGGTGATTGAAGAGTGGCCTGCTCTTCCACGGGTATGTTATCTGGTATCTTCTCTTATTAACACTTCATCTACCTCTAACACTGTGCATGTTCCTACCACCACGTCCTCATCTGTTCCAGCATGTACCATCTCACCAAATCCTGTTTGTGTCGCACCTACCTCCACTTCTAGCCGCTCACCCACTTCCACTTCTTACCGCTTGTCTACCTCCACTTCTAACCGCTTGCCTACCTCCACTTCTAACCGCTTGCCTACTTCTACTTCTAACCGCTTGCCTACCTCCACTTCTAACCGCTTGCCTACCTCCACTTCCAACCGCTCACCCACTTCTAACCGCTTGCCTACCTCCACTTCTAACCGTTTACCTACCTCCACTTCTAACCGCTTGCCTACCTCCACTTCTAACCGCTCACCCACTTCTAACCGCTTGCCTACCTCCACTTCTAACCGCTTGCCTAACTCCACTTCTAACCGTTTACCTACCTCCACTTCTAACCGCTTGCCTACCTCCACTTCTAATCACTCACCGTCGTCTGTTACTAACACTCCCATCTATTTTAAAGGTGCCGGTCATGTTTTGTCTAATTTTTATCCATGTATTCTTACTTTCCAGGGGTTAACCTTCAGTAGTTCTGAACATTTGTATCAGTATCGCAAGGCTGTCGAGCATTCCGATTTCCATTTGGCGCATCTTATTCGTTCAGCTTCGACAGCCAAGGACTGCAAAGTCCTTTCAAAACATGTAAAAACTAACCAGAATTGGTTATTATTCAGGCAGGACATCATGCTTGAAGTTTTGGCAGTTAAATTAGATCAGTGTGCAAAATTCAAAAAATATTTACTTAGTACAAAATTATCTGAACTGATACACAATGTAGCAGACACTTTCTGGGGTATTGGTTGGAATGGCAGTGGTACCAACATTCAGGGTAAGCTTTTGATGCAGTTACGGTATAGTATTGCTAACACTCCTTCAGTTAACTCACTAGTTACCACCACTCCTATTGCTAACACTCCTTCAGTTAACTCACCAGTTACCACCACCACTCCTACTGATAACACTCCGTCAGTTAACTCCCCAGTTACCACCACTACTATTGCTACCACTCCTTCTGTTAACTCACCAGTTACCACCACTCCTATTGCTAACACTCCTCCCGTTTTAATTGGTGGTGGTGTCACAGTTTATTCAGTTACAGATCATATTCATCAGAGTGCCATTGTGGATATTTTAACTGATCCAGATACATCACGTACATCCGACATGCCACCAGCAAAGCCTAAGGGAAACGAGGTATATTTGATAAGATCCGATAACCATGATGATTGGAAGTGTGACCAATACCAGTGGCTTCATTATGGGAGTAAATTCATGGCTATGTTCCGAAATTATAAATGTGTGCATGAATATGCTAGCGAAACAATTTCCAATTATATCTGGATTTCAATCAACAGGTTTAGCGCCTCTTTTTGATGAAGATAAACAGTGTTGGACAGAAAATTTCGGGACATTCACCAGTCAAGATACACCATGTGTGCAAATTCACCATACCGGAAAATCTCATTGGATTACATCTCTTCAGACTAAAAAGGATAGTGCCGTTTATGTGTTAGATAGTTACAGTAAAGATTTCAGATTAACACCATCGACAGAAATTCAGTTATCAGCTATTTATTCTCATGGAAAAAAGAACTTGCTTGTTAAATTACCTGATGTTCAACAACAAACAAATGGATATGACTGTGGTGTTTATGCTATTGCCAACATGGTGGAATATTGTCATAAAGAAAAACTCAACACTCAAAGACGTACGAAGTTTATTGAGAAATACATGCGACCACATTTAATATCGTGTTTGGAAAAAGGACATTTTACACCATTTCCTCAAAATACAACATCAAGTACAGACTTTGTTAGGATTTTTGCCAGAAGAATTGAGTGTAGTTGTCAGTGTGGTAAACCAGATGTTTTTGAGAACATGATTGGATGTGAAGCGAAAAGAGGACGGATCAGCTGTACTAAGTGGGTTCATCAGACATGTTCAGGAGTTTCAGAAGATTGGTACTGTGATGAACATCGCGATGCTTGAACATTGTATTGTATTGTATTGTATTGTATTGTATTGTATTGTATTGTATTGTATTGTATTGTATTGTATTGTATTGTATTGTATTGTATTGTATTGTATTGTATTGTATTGTATTGTATTGTATTGTATTGTATTGTATTGTATTGTATTGTATTGTATTGTATTGTATTGTATTGTATTGTATTGTATTGTATTGTATTGTATTGTATTGTATTGTATTGTATTGTATTGTATTGTATTGTGTTGTATTGTATTGTATTGTGTTAACTCCTATATATTAGATATGAACGTTTTTCATTGTGGTAGGTAATCGTGACTAAATTGTTCTTTTCCATTTATCTTTATTGAACTCAATTTAATTGAATGTCTTCTTTTTTTCTGTTAGTGAAAATTGTGTGTATTAATTTATTTTATTTCTTTGTGATTCTAACATAATTGTAATTTATATGCTTGTATATACATCGTTTTTAAACAATACGAATCTCATTTCCTGCCTTTATATGACATGTATAATCACTCAATAACTAGATAAACAAAAAATAAATAATCAGATAGGAAAGAAAACATTCCAATTTGTGATTATAGTAATTAATATAGGTGTGATTTTATTTTAATGGTTCATATCACCTTCCTTTGCGTTTACTTTTATACAGTTTTTTTTTATTTAATTGTTACATCAAGAAGAAAAAACCTTTCCATTTACTTAGTTATTAAAATCATTAATGTAGGTAACTAATTACATTTCACTTTTATAATTATTTAATTGGGTTTAATAATTCAATAATTAGTTTCATTAGTCACACTTATTAATCAAATCAAATGAAGTAGAGTTGTGATGAGGGGTAAACAATACTCACAGTCAGCAACTTGTACTCATATTTCCCCTATCTTTTCATTTAACAAAATTTATTTGCTTTGGATGTTGTGTTTTATGGATAAGATAAATATAAATTCAATGACAATATAAGGTAAGAACTAAAAACGTTTTTGTTTGTGTATTAAGTTTAATAAATTGAAGGTGGTTAGGTCAAGTTTTTATTTCGTATGAAATATTGTTTTCCAATTACTTTATAAAAAGTATTAAAAAGAAAACGTTATAATTTGACTTGGTTTCAAATAAGAACTCAATCATACCAACAATGTTACAAGTATTAGCACTTTTATATCGGTCAGGACATTAGTCACGACAAAGTCGATGTTGGTCAGGTCAAGTTTTTTTACCCTTAAAGTATTTTTTTCCCAATTCTTTTCAAATAAGTATTAAATCAATATTACTTTCTTGTCTGGTGTCAAATTTGAAGTCAATCCTTCCAAAGAAAAAAAGGAAATTAGCAGTTTTATATCGGTCCGGACATTAATCGCGGCAAAGTCGTAGTTGGTCAGGTCAAGTTTTCTAACTCTAAAAATTATTTTTTTTGCATTTTTTTCTTATATTTTTGGATTAAATGTTTTAATCTTCCTTGATATCGAATTTGAAGTCTATCCTGTGAATAATAAAAAAGTATTAAGCCGTTTCATATCGGTCAGGACATTAGTGATTTCAAAGTCGAAGTTGGTCAGGTCAAGTTTTCTAACTCTTAAAAATATTTTTTTTAATTTTTTTTCTTTTATTTAATAAATTAATGTTGTCATCTTGCTTGGTTCCAAATTTAAAGTAAATCCTTTAAATAATGAAAACGTAATTAGCATTTTCATATCCGTCAGGACTTTGTCAGGACATTGTCAGGACATTAGTGTAACCCTTTCCGGTTTTTTAAATGCAATCACCCAAGCGCTTTACAGAAAGGTATTTACCTTTGTTTGTCAAGCATTTCAAACTGAAATGAAAAATGAAAACATTGAAGAAATGTGAAAAATGAAGATGAAAGGGATCGGTTATTCGTTTTATGAGCACCATGTAAAAGTGTTCAATTAGCAGATAGACTAATAAAACGTCAAAATGCCTTTTGTTAATATGAAAAAGGCTGCTCAGGCCTCAGGTAGCTCAAAAAGTTTTGCTGTGAAAGTTACAACAATGGATGCAGAACTTGATTTCACAACTGTTGAGGTGAATATTTCGAGCATAACTGCCTAGCCATGATTGATAAATTCGTTTCGGCCATGATATTTTGTTATATTAGTAAAGTAGTTAGTTATATGAAACACATTTATATCACATTTAAATCAAATGTTGTTTAGACAGTTAATTAGAAATTAGTCATTTCTGCTTTCGAGACGCGATGGCCATATTTCCATGACGTCCATAGGATGTGTCTGCCATACCACCACATTGTTCTTGGGATGTATTGTCCATACATTGTAAAGACGTATCGTATCGTCCATACTTTAAACTTTAAGTATTTATTCCATTGAGGTTATAACATAAATAATAATATAAATATAACCCAAAAACATCGGATGTTGAAAGTCTTCAAGCATTTGAAACATCAGTCAGAAGAACCAACGCAATAAATGCATGCCAATTGATCGGAGGGGACTTCAATTTGCCAGGATGGAACTGGGCAAACAAATGTCTATACCAGGGAACACAGCACACAGAACAACATTACCATTTTGCAGAAATCCTTGACGACAACGGACTAACACAGCTAGTGCAAGAGCCTACAAGAAACAAGAACACTCTGGACCTCTTGATCACTAACCGTCCTAGCAAAATAATGAGAATAGATATCATACCAGGAATATCAGACCATGACATTGTATATGCTGAAATGAACATCAACCCAGTAACAAACAAACAGAAACAACGAAAAATCCCTCTCTACAAGAGGGCGAAATGGGACAGCATGAAGGAAGATATGAAACATCTACACAACGCTATTCAACAAGAAAGCAATACGGATAGACCAGACATAAATATGCTATGGAAAATGTTTAAAGACGGTCTTGAAACAAGTACAAACAAACATATACCAGCAAAAACCTGTAAGACCAAAGATAAGAACCCATGGATTACACGGGAAATAAAATCACTCATAAGGCGAAAAGACCGAGCATATAAAAAGAAAAAGAAATCAAACCATCCTGATGATTGTGCAAGATTTAAAGAACTGAAAAAGACAGCACAGAAAAGCCTAAGACAAGCATATTGGAAGTATATTGAAAGTATCATCACCCCAGAGAATCCTGAAGAAACACATGCCCCTTCTAAAAGATTTTGGACATACATCAAGCACAGAAAAAGTGATAAAAGTGGAGTGGCACCTCTAAGAAAAAATGGTAGCTTAGAAACAGATCCAATCAACAAAGCAAACATATTAAATGAACAATTTCAATCTGTATTTTCCACAGCAAACAACATCAGCAACAGTGAATTCTACAATCAAAATCATATGTCCGACTCACCAGAAAATTACCCTGACTGTAGAGACATCCTTATCACAATCAACGGAGTAGAAAAACAATTGAGAAACCTTAACCCACACAAAGCCGCTGGACCGGATAACATCAGACCAATGATACTCAAAGAACTTGCCAGCGAAATCGCTCCCATACTTACCATCATATTTAATGTTTCGATGGAGACCGGCAAAGTTCCAGATGACTGGCGGACAGCAACAGTCACACCAGCATACAAAAAGGGTCAAAAGTACATCCCAGCAAATTACAGACCAATATCTCTTACATGTATTTGCTGCAAGATCATCGAACATATTGTTACCAGCCATATTATGAAACACGCAGAGGCAAACAACATCCTTTATCCACTACAACATGGATTTCGAAGTAAACGATCCTGCGAGACGCAACTCTTAGAATGCATTGATGACTTAACGAAGTACCTTGAATTGGGAAAACAGTCTGACCTACTGATACTAGACTTCTCAAAAGCATTCGATAAGGTATCCCATAGCCTGCTCCTACATAAACTCAATCACTATGGAATCAGGGGAAAGACCAACAGCTGGATAGAAGCGTTCCTGACAAATAGAACCCAAGTAGTAGTAGTTGAGGGTGAACAGTCAGACAGAGCAAAGGTAGAATCTGGAGTTCCACAAGGTTCAGTCCTAGGCCCTAGTCTATTTTTGTTTTACATAAATGACCTAGCGAATGACCTAAAATCAACAGTTCGTCTCTTTGCTGATGACACAGTAGTCTACTTAACCATCGCCTCAGATACTGATTGCCGACACCTACAGTCAGACCTTGATAAACTGGCACTATGGGAGGAAAAGTGGAAGATGGAGTTTCACCCAGAAAAGTGTAGCGTACTGACTGTCTCCAGAAAGAAAAAGCCAATCAAATGGGACTATGTATTACATGATCATGTACTAAAACATGAAACATCAATTAAGTATCTGGGCTGCACCATCACAAGCGAACTAGACTGGGGAGAACACATCAACAACATTACCAGCAAAGCCAGCAGAAGCCTTGGTTTCCTCCACAGAAATCTACACATCGGCTCTAAAAGCATCAAAGAGCAAGCTTACAAAACCCTAGTAAGGCCCCAACTAGAATATGCCACAACAGTATGAGACCCATATCATCAGAAACATATTGACCAAATTGAAAAAGTTCAAAGGAGGGCTGCGCGATACGTCACCAAGCGCCACAGAAACAGATCAAGTGTCACGGACATGATTAATGAATTGGGTTGGAAAAGTCTCCAAGAACGACGCAGAGAGGCCAGGCTCGCAATGATGTACTAGATCGTCAACGACAAAGTAGCCATCAACAAAGACATGTACCTCCAGAGACCAACCAGAGTATCCAGACATACACAACAGCATGGATACATGGTACAAACAGCAACCAAAGACTGCAGGAAATGGTCCTTCTTTGTGAACACCACCAAAGACTGGAACAAGCCTCCCCGGAGATCGCCACAGCACAGTCATTTGAGACATTCAAATCTCAAATGACCAACCTTACAAAATAAGTTGAACATTTGTTTTTATCCTGTTTTTAACCATGCAGAACCAATTTGCCAGTATATTCAGAAAGTTGAATGTGGGCAGTATATGGAAGAAGAAGAAGAAGAATACAACACTACCCAATGTATGTTTGTATCCGCTTGTCATGATTGTAGTCAGCTTGAGTGCTGAGTTTTTATAGTAATCATGATTTGTATTTCCTTTACCATTTCTTGACAAAAGCATAGTAAATACTTATGTTCATGAAAGAAATAATAATAAGCAATTAACAATCTTCTTAAATCATTATCTGATTACTTTGTCACAGTTTATATTTGACAGATGACAGAAATTAATATACCATTTGGATATTCATTCTTATTTGTTTTATTGCTTCTGTTTGCTTTACGAAAGATATTAAACATGTGTATATCTTAATCATGTTAATGCTTCAGAAATAAATTATATTTCAAAAAAAAAAAACCATGGACAACGCGTCTTCACATCTTTTTTGGCCGTTACATCTTTTTAATGTATGGACATCATGGCAGTATAGACGTTGCGTCCTGCATCGGTCATATCGTACCCTGACCATTATCCTTCAATTTGTATCCTTGCATAAACCATACGTACCATATGGAAGTTTTATATATGCCATTTTGTACATCATGAATTATTTATAGGTACATGTATGCCACTTTGCATTTTATGGAAGAATTTTGCATAAATGTGTACCACTTTGTACCATTGTCTTCCATGACAATCAAGGCTCCCACTAGCAGGCGACAGGCGAAAAAGTCGCTTTCCTGTTCGTCACTTCGCTTTGCCCGTCCTTCAAAACAGATATCTAGTTGCCCTGTTGTTCACAATAGTCGCTTGCAGTCGCTTTCGTCATTCATCAGCAATTTCTCATATTTTCAGCTAGTCCGATTCCGATGAATCCTGCCTCTGATCTGTTGTTCCTACAAATATTTCAATGGCGGATGAAGAAAATTTTCAAAAATAAACAATGTTTGACAAGCTATTTGGAAAGGAATATGATGTTTTTAATACAATAAATGGATTAAAATTGCCTTTGATTCAATAATTGCATTAAACGCGTCATGTTCCTAACCAAATCGCTTGTCAAACATTGTTTATTTTTGTAAATTTTCTTTGTCTGCCATTGAAATATTTGTGAAGCAAACCAACTACGACTGAAATCTGTATTCTTATGATAATAACTACAGAGGTCTGAATTGAACAGCTGACAAAAGAATAATTATCCCCAAAGTGAAAATTACGCATTCCACGAGTATTAACATACTTTTGGTTAGATCTCCTAGCTTTCATGTAAATGTGGTGTTTCTATTTATTGTTGAAAGTTGCTTAACTAAGTTAGATTTATATATATTTTTTTAATGAGAAACAGTGAATTTCATCAAGTATGTATTACTAACATATCATATATGTCCTTGCCCCCTCAGACATGGTCTATTAACTTAAATACTTTGGCTTAGTTTACATGTATTAGTTTGTGATTAGATCAGTTTAAGATGAATCGCTAATGTTAAGTCAATGATATTTGGTATGCAAATTTATTGGCATTTGCAAGTCTTGTTTCCATGGAGATTATATAGCCAAACCCCCTCATCATGGTTCATTGACTGAAACTTTTTCATAGTTTACAAGTTAATGTTAGTGTTTAGGTTTGTTTAAAGGGAACGAGTTAAGTCAATGGTATTTGGTATGCAGTTGTATTAGCATTGGCACATCTCATTTCCATGCAGATTGTTTAGCCATGTACCGTCAGTCATGGTCATTGACTTTAAATATTTGCATAACTTACAAGTTACATGATAAAGTATTGTTATTTTAATTTCAACATTTGCAATTATCAAAATTACAAAAAGGAGAGACATATCTCTGTGTTAACAGTTTATATTTGATATATATGATATTTTCTTTTCCTTTTTGTTGAGCCTTCGCGTTTTGTCGAAAAAAGCGAGACATAGCGATCCTACATTCAGTCGGCGGCAGCGTCCACAAATATTCACTCTGTGGTTAAAGTTTTTGAAATTTTAATAACTTTCTTAAACTATCCTGGATTTCTACCAAACTTGGACAGAAGCTTGTTTATGATCATAAGATAGTATCCAGAAGTAAATTTAAAAAAAAAAAATCCTGTTTTTCCGTATTTTACTTATAAACAGTCAGGGGTGCTACTTAAACAAGTGATTTCATCATCACTTATTTCAGTGATTTGATAAATTCAGTTATCACCTATTTAAGTGATTTTAGTGTTTTCTTTGATCTTCAAATGCTAATTTCATTGATTTTCCATATTTTCACAATCTTTTCTTTAATTTTCCTACATAAATCAATTATCCCTTTTTCTTTGTATATTAATTTCACCAGTGCGCTTGGGCAGTAAGTTAGTGCGCTAAAGCTTTTAAAAGTACCCTTGGGAATTTTTCTGTAATCAAAAATTCATTAACTACTCTTACTATCAGAAAAAGATCAACAATATTAGGTAACCTGATTGGTTTTCTTTTGAGTTAGAATGATCTACTTCAAGGTTATGACCTGATCTACAAACTATTCCAGTTTTTGCATATTTTAAAAAAACTGTAAAAGTGTCAGGCTTATCAAGCAAAATACAATTTCTGCATATACATAGTTGTTTTTTCAATGGAATTGTTGTCTTTTTACCAATAAAAAAATCAAGCTTGTGGGAAAAATATCAAAAAAATGTTATAAACACTTATTAAAGTGATTACATTTTAACTTCTAAAATTACTTGTTTCAGTGATTTTAAAAAGTCTGTGTGAAAATTTTTAATATTTCACAGCCAAAATCACTCGAGGGAGTGATTCTGAAATCACTTGTTTAAGTAGTACCCCTGACTGATAAAAGGACTTAGTTTTTCTGCCAGGAAACATTACATTCACTCTGTGGTTAAAGTTTTTAAAATTTTAATAACTTTCTCAAACTATCCTGGATTTCTACCAAACTTGGACAGAAGCTTGTTTATGATCATAAGATAGTATCCAGAAGTAAATTTAAAAAAAAAAAATCCTGTTTTCCGTATTTTACTTATAAATGGACTTAGTTTTTCTGCCAGGAAACATTACATTCACTCTGTGGTTAAAGTTTTTAAAATTTTAATAACTTTCTCAAACTATCCTGGATTTGTACCAAACATGGACAGAAGTTTGTTTATGATCAAAAGCTAGTATCTAGAAGGAAATTTTTATTAAAATTTTGTACTTGTTTATCCATATTTTACTTATAAATGGACTTAGTTTTTCTTCCAGTTAACAGTCTGCAGTTAAATTTTTTAAAACATTTATTAGATTCATAAACTATCCTGGATTTTTACCAAACTTGGACAGAAGCTTCTTACAATAAAAAAATTGTATCGAGAGGAATATTTTTATTAAATTTTTTCCTCATCTCATTTTTGTTGAGCCTGCGATTAACAGCAAAAGTAGGCGAGACACTGGGTTCCGCAGAACCCTTACGAATTTTTAATTTTAAAAAAGTTCTTTTAGTGCTAAATACTTAGATTGTAGATTCTGACAAGAGGACTAATATAGTTGTGCAACTCATTGCAACTATAAATGACTATTTAAACAGTGTTCTCCCCAGATATTTCATATAGCATCCTGCAGGTACACAGGGAAATTTGAAATACACATCCATAACACAATCTGTAAGGAAATCAATTAAGAAAGAATCACATTCAAGAAATATAGCATCACATTACCATGATGCTAAAAGCATGAAAAGGCCCTGGGGAGAACACTGATTTAAGACTAAACTTAATTTTCTTAAACAACTGTTACATGTACTTTAATTGACTCTGATGTTAATTGAACACCAATAAAAAAATTAGAATACAAACGGCCCTTTATATAATAGTAAAAACCAATTATTGTAGTGCCACGAGCCAATGAGCACTCCTCTTTCAAATCTCACCACTTCTCCCTACCAGTTTCAAAAGTTCTCTCTATGATTTTGAAGTAGTGTACATGTGAGCCCTGGAGGTCAGCCTCAGTGGTTGGATGTAAGCAGGATATTGCAAATTGGACTAAGCACAGGCAAAGGATGAAAAAATGAGACCTTAAAGTAATATAAAATCAACTTTTAATCAATGTGTAAGTACATATTAGACATAAGGGTAACTAAAGTTTTATTCTATTTTTAGCACAAAGCTACAGGTAAAGATTTATTTGAATTGGTGTGTAGAACAATTGGATTGAGAGAAACATGGTACTTTGGTCTGCAGTATGTTGACACAAAAGGATATATAGCATGGCTCAAATTTGATAAAAAGGTATCCTAAAATTGTTTTGTGAACTCATATGCACTGTTTCCTGGTTATTTATTCAACACCACTGTTACACCAGCAATATTGACTTTTAACTGAATCAAAATAAAATTCTCATGTTTCTCAACATTTTGATGATTTTCATGATTTTATAGTATAAAAATCAACCAGCATCTATTATGTTTTCTGGAATTACGCCTCCCTTCAAAAATCATAGATCTGCTCCTTACCTTATATAGACTCTATCACCATGTATTGACAAAAAAATCATGAAAATAGAAAGATGGTTTAAAGATTAAAGAAAGAATGGTTAAAAGTATAGTAGTTAAATATAAAAGTTGTGTAGTTTGGTTAAAAGTATAGTAGTTAAATATAAAAGTTGTGTAGTTGTTAATTTCTATGTCATTTGGTCTCTTGTGGAGAGTTGTCTCATTAGCAATCATACCAGATCTTCTTATTTTTATACCCCACGGAACAAAGTTCCAAACCGTCCCATCGAGTATAAAGTTTTTGACCCTTCAACAGTCCGTCTGTCAAGCTGTCCGTCAGTCCTGTTCTTGTCATCACAACTCTTCTGAAACCACACAACAGAAATTCCTGAAACCTCATAGATAATAAAGACATACTATGTAGATGTGCATATCGACCTGAAATTATGATTCTATTTCTTTTGTATGTGTTATGCCCCTCTGAACTTAGAATTTTGGCCTTAATATACTACTTCAACAGTTTGTCATAGCAACTCCTGAAACCACTCAACAGAATTTCTTGAAACTTTGTAGATAATAAGAAAATACTATGTAGATGTGCATATCGACAGGAAATTATGATTTTATTTTATTTTCTAGGAGTTATGTCCTTTTGAACTTAGAATATTGGCCTAAATATACTACTTCAACAGTTTGTCATTGCAACTCCTCTGAAACCACACAACAGAATTTCCTGAAACTTTGAAGATAATAAGGAAATGATGTGAAGATGTGCATATCCACAAAAAATATTATCAGTTGATTTTTCTGTGACTTATGCCCCTTTGAACTTTAAATCTGGCTTTAATATACCACTGCAACAGCTTGTCATCTCAACTCCTCTGAAACCACACAACAAAATTTCCTAAATCTGTGTAGATAAAGAGGACATGAAATCCACAAGAAATTATTATCAGTTGACTTTTGGAGGCGTTATGAGTCTTGGGAAATAATTAGTGAGATTTTGTTTACCCACTCACAATGTGGGGGCTTCAGCGTGCTGACACATTGTCACAAAGCATGTGTAAAGGTTCTTTAATTATAATACTATGGTTTCATTATTAGTCCCCTACCGACGAAGTCGAAGAGGACTTTAGGTTTGCACTCTGTCCGTCTGTCTGTTTGTCCATCTGTCAGTCCGGCAAATCAGTTTTCCAGACTTTTTTATGCCCCCGCCGTACCGGAGGGGGCATTAAGTTTTACCCTTGTCCGTCTGTACGTACGTACGTACGTACGTACGTCCCGAAATTGGTTTCCGTTCTCTAACTTGAGTTTGCCTCAACCAAATGTTATGAAACTTATACACAATGCTTATTACCACAAAACACAGATCAAGTTTGAATTTTGGTGGCGTCACTTTAACCGATCTAGAGTTATGCCCCTTTATAAAAGGAAATATTGCAAAATTTTTAGTTTCCGTTCTCTAACTTAAGTTTGCCTCAACCAAATGTTATGAAACTTATACACAATGCTTATTACCACAAAACACAGATCAAGTTTGAATTTTGGTGGTGTCACTTTAACCGATCTAGAGTTATGCCCCTTTATAAAAGGAAAAATTGCAAAATTTTTATTTTCTTCTAAATATCAAGTTTATATAATATATTTTTAAAATTGGAGTTATCTTCCTTTGACCATGATTATAGTTGAATCAACTACAATCAATGCTTTATACAATGCAATGTTTAATTTTGACTACCACTGATAAAACACAGATCAAGTTGAATTTGGGTAGTGTCACTTTAACCATTATTGAGTTATGCCCCTTTATAAATAGAAAGATTGCAAAATTTTTTAGTTTCCATTCTGTAACTGAAGTTTTCCCCAGCCAAACATTGTGAAACCTATACACAATATTCATTCCAACAAAACTCAGTAAAGATCAAGTACATTTTTTTTGTTTCAGTTCTCTAACTTGAGTTTGCCTCAACCAAATGTTATGAAACTTATACACAATGCTAATTACTACATAATACAGATTAAGTACGAAATTAGGTGGCAACACTTTTACCATTCTAGAGTTATGTCCCATTATAAACATAAAAATTGCTGAATTTTTTAGTTTGTCTCAACCAAATGTTGTAAAACTTATACACAACCGTTCTAGAGTTATGCGTCATTACAAATAGAAAAATTGCTGAATTTTAGTTTCTGTTCTCTACTTAAGTTAGCCTCAACCAAATGTTATGAGACTTACACACAATGCTTATTACCACAAAACTCAGATCAAGTTCAAATTTGGGTAGTGTCACTTTTACCGTTCTTCAGTTATGTCCCTTTATAACTATATGATATGCAAGCGGGGGCATCATCTGTGTCCACATGTGGACACTATCCACATTTATTTCTTCATGCTTTAAGATATTGATTTGATATTTGGTGTATTGTTTTATCATGACAAGTTACAGGTCAAGTTCAATTTTCACGATTTTAGCTTTTCTCCTTGTTCAGTGAAATCCCTTTCCCTAGAATTAAATTTTTGATGAAATACTTATTAATTACTAGATTTCTGTTCAAAGGGAAATAACTCATTTTTTAAAAGACATTGTATCAATGATAAATTACATTTTGGATTATTTTCCTTTTCTATAGTAAATTGTTTGAAGAATTTTGTGGTGGGTTTGTTTGTTATTTTATGTAGTTTACACCATGACAAGTTATAGATCAAGTTAGAATTTTGTTCCATTACAATGAATTTTTAACAGGTAGGGGACTATGTATTGCCATGCAATACTCACAGAATGCTTATATTTCCTGGGATACCAATTTTCGTGTTTTTCATAAGTAAAGGGAACCAAAAATTTAAATGCTGAACGAATTACAAATTTGTTATAGGCTTGTATGCATACTTTTGCAAAACCATGAATTCAAATATACATGAAAATACAATTGTTCCTTAATCCACGAAAATTGATACCCATGAAAATAAATGAATCCACAGTAACTATAATAATTTTGAATAGCCATTTACATACAGTGATCTTGCTACACCCTATTTTTGTGCTAACTTGGACACTTGATTACATCATATTAATAGATATTTATAGTAGACATAATATACATATATGATAGCAAAGATTATATCAATAAAAAGATTTCAAACATGAATTGTAGAAAATATTTAACCTCATCCGCATTGGGTCACCTTGCACATAATATGGGTCAGTCAGTGTAAAGTTCAGGAATGTAAAATTCACAGATACCTTAAAGGAAAACTAATCAGTACCGTGTGTTCTTTCATTTCAGGTGTTAGACCAAGATATACCAAAAGAATATCCAGTACAGTTTTTATTCCTGGCAAAATTTTATGCGGAAGATGCTTCGGAGGAATTGATACAAGAGATTACTCAACATTTATTTTTCCTCCAAGTTAAACAATCAATACTTAATATGGACATATATTGTCCACCAGAGGCTTCTGTATTGCTGGCATCTTATGCTGTACAAGCTAAGGTTTGCTTTATTGCTGATTGTTTGCAAAATAAAGTCTGCTTCTAACCATGTGACACCATTACCACTGGAAATCCGTATAAATTATTGAATATGGCCAAACAAAAATTATTGCCATTTATTAGCTTTTTGTGTCTAAATTGTATAAAAAGACTGCCACATATATACATTTATAAACATTTTATAGGCATATATGTTAACAGATTTTTATATTTACTGGTATCATTATTGCCTTCAAATTATGAATTCAATGATTTAAATTTTTTTTTGATTAATGCATATGTCAAGTTTGACATTACCTTGGTCCATTGTTTTCACAACAATGCTGCAAAACATAGACACAATATTGTGAATATGATTTGAATAAAAGAAGGCTCAAAACAGATAAATTCAATAGTGACACAAAATGAATCTTTACAATGATTAATGAAAGAGTTTGCTTTGCTCCTTAACCCAAAAGCTTTATATAATATTTTGAGACAATGTATAATTATTCAATAGGTAACAGTCTACATAATGAGAGATATTATGACGCTGTGAATACAACACAATATAGGCTGTGAAATCACCACATGTTTTAAGGTTCAAACGCCTGCAACTTGTATAATCAGTTCCAACCAGGTTTTTTTTTTAAATCTTGCATGGCTTCCTTGTTTATACAATGTATATTTATATGAATCATATCATATTTTCAGTATGGTGATTATGATCCAAGTTCATATAAACCTGGTATCTTGGCAAGTGAAGATCTGTTACCCCAGCGAGTGATAGACCAGTATCATATGACAGCTGAGATGTGGGAGGAGAGAATTAAAGAATGGTATGCTGATCATAGAGGCATGTCGAGGTGAGTTTTAGTGTCACATCACTGCTGAAGATATGCACTTTTACTGGATGCATGGTGTCCTCAATTTCTTGCAAGAAAAGTATGCAGGACAATGATGCAAATCAATAGACTACCATGGATTATCAATGCTCAGTTCAATACTAGAAACTGGTTTGATACTGCTGGTAGTTGAACAAGTGATACAAGTTTTAAGAATGACAAAGCCACATTAAGTTGATATATATTACCTACATATATTTTACTTTATTCAGGATTTTTTGTGCCAACATTATATTTACAACAGATTTTTTCTTTTCATACAGAGAACTAAAAGCAATGACAGAAAAAATAGCATCTTCAAAATAATTGTAGTGTCGCGGAAATTATTATAGCAATACAGTAAGAATTATAGAAATTTGTTGCTGCAAGTCTATACAGCCTGGGGAGATCGCTTCAGTATCATTTCTTATATTCATTGTCCAAGCATAAATTAAATCATTATCCTTAATCAGAACTAATGAATTTATTTTAGAAAACTCACCATACAAGTAACAATACTACATGTACTAATGTACACCTCTTATTTTGTTTTTGATTCAAATTTCAGATTTGTTCGCAATACATCTAGTTTTGTTACGAAATCTCATGAATGTATGCTATCAATGCATGCATTTATCATAAGTTATATGCTTGAATGATATATTGGTTGTGATATAGAAAACAATTTCAATAGCAAACATAAGGCTATAAACCATTCTCTGTTCAATAAGACTAAGTTTATCAAAAATTATATATTTCGAATTTTAACAGCTGACATGTATAATGATTTTCCCTGAATTTTAGCAGGTTCTGCTACTTACATAATAGATATTATTGAAGACCTTAAATAGGATCAAATTTTATAATAATATTTACTGTTGGATAAATGATAATGGATAAAAGGAGATGTTACATTTATAAAATATTTTTTATCTGTTTTCAGAGATGAAGCTGAGATGGAATATTTAAAGATTGCTCAAGATTTAGAAATGTATGGTGTTAATTATTTCCAAATAAAAGTAAGCAAAACAAATACACATTTAAGTGGTATAGTTTGAATTGATTAGTTCAAGAGCAATTAAAAGTTATTAGAAAACATACTTCCTAGGTGTCAACATGTGGCAATATAGTAGTGTAACCATAACAATCATGTCAGGGTATTTTATAGCTTATGGTCATGCGTTTTTCTCATTGAAGGTTATACTGTGACCTAAAGTTGCTTAGATTGACTGTATTTTGACTCTGTTAGATTGTGGTATCACTGACAATCATACCATATCTACTTTATGAGATTGCTGACTTGGAACAACCATAATAAACATGATTGTTGTAATTTTATTTTGTGAGTACTCAATTTTCAACCAATTGCCTTCCGTCGTGGAGAAAAAAAGTACAATAGAAAAGTCATATTCAGCCAAAAATTCTTGTATGGATTCCAGCTTTTGTGTCTTGTGGATTTTTTGTCTTTTAATAGTGTTTCAGAATGGGCAAATCACAAATCATTGCAAATATTTGATTCAGGGGTATATAATTTTTATTTTTTTTTATCTTTAAACTTATACCCTACAAATAGTAGTACTTTCTTAGAATTCAGAAACTCAATATTAATTGAGTTCTTGAAATCTTTTTTATTCCTGGTGGTCATTGGGACCACCAAGACTAAAAATCTGGTGGTCCTTGAGAAAATCTGGTGGTCCTGTAATTTTACTTGAATTTATCAAACACCTATTAGTTACATGTAAGTCATTGCTCAATACTATATTAACTCCATCCTAGTTTCTATGTTATATATTTGGTTGTTTGTTCACTAATTTTTATACTTTGTCAGTTTGATTACATGTATATTTTATGTTTCATGCATTATAGTAAGTCTTTGAACGAGATGGGCCATGCGGCAGCCATGATGACTTGTAGGACTGGTTATTTTTCAAAAGTATTACCGTAATTTTGTGCTATGCTACAAAAGTTAAATTACAGTAGTTACCAGTTCAAAAACTATCTGAATACCAAAGAAACCGACAACTGGTTCTTTTTCAAAAGTATTACCATAATTTTGAGCTATGCAATTAAAGTTTGTTTACATTAGTAACCAGTTCAAAAGCTATCTGAATACCGAAAAGATGTAAAATAAAATTGAACAACCACCAAAATTTTGTTGGTCATCAGGACTGTCACTACACATGCAATTGTCGGTCCTATCCGATTTTTGGCGGTAGGGACCAACGGTTTTCGAGAACTACGTATTAAAATTTCCTTTATTGCAGCATGTCTAATCAGAAATTTGTGTATGCCTATTGACCAAAGGAGACGTTGGGTTTACATCAATGAGACAGCAACCCTCAGCCCAATGACACAATAAAACCAAAAGAAATCTTAGAGGTTAAGATAGTCTTCAACAATAGACATGTGCCAATCAATATGTCATGCTCTAAATCATCAAAGTATAAAAAGTTGTTAATAAGTTTAACAGAGACTCATCGAAGATCTTGAAATGACAATAAACATTAAGATACAACAAAAGACAATCACTGATGAAGTTCAAGATTTGGGACATACATGTATATCTGATCTAAACTGAACTTACAATTTATATTTCAGAATAAACGTAATACAGACTTGTGGTTGGGTGTTGATGCAAGTGGATTGAATGTTTATGAGCGTGATAATAAATTAACCCCTAAAATAACGTTCCCCTGGAGTGAAGTAAAGAATATATCATTTAAAGACAAAAAGGTAAGTAATTAAATGAGCAACATATATGATTTTTTTAACACAGTTTATAAATAACATACAAAAGAATGAAGAACCACATTAATTTGAACAAACTTTTGATGTCATGAAATTATTTGAAAGATTTAAAGAATTTTACACCACTGTACACTACAGGGTTCTTATTACTAGAACTGCCTCTGTGGGTAGCTTGCTCGTCTCCTGGTCAGATTAAACCAAATACTTAGGTACTGGACATTAAACACCAATTTATCATCATATTATTACTATACAAAAGTTATTTACAACTATGAAACTTATTAATAAGGGAGATAATTTACATATTTATTTATTTTGCTTAAACAAAAACAAGTATATTGCTATCAAAGCTGTTGTTACTAATTTTTATATGACCGCAAAAAATTTTTGCAGTCGTATATTGGTATGACCTTGGCGTCATCGTCGTCGTCCGAAGACACATTGGTTTTCGCACTATTTCTTTAGTTTAAGTGAATGGATCTCTATGAAATTTTACCACAAGGTTCAATACCACAAAAGGAAGGTTGGGATTGATTTTGGGGGTTATGGTACCAACAGTTAAGGAATAAGGGGCTAAAAAGGGGCCAAAAATAAGCATTTTTGTAACTTCCAGACATAACTTGTGTGTTAGTGTATGGATCTCTCTGACATTGTACCACAAGGTTCCATATCACAAAGGGAATGCTGGGATTGATTTTGGGGGTAATTGCCTCCACATTTTAGGAATAAGGGGCCAAAAAAGGGGCAAAAAACAAGCATTTTTCTAGTTTCATGACAATAACTTGTGTGTAAGTGTATGGATCTTTCTGAAATTGTACTACAAGGTTCCATATCACAAAGGGAAAGCTGGAATTGAGTTTGGGGGTAATTGCCCAAAACGTTTAGGAATAATGGGCCAAAAAGGGGCCAAAAATAAGCATTTTTCTAGTTTCCAGACAATAACTTGTGTTCAAGTGTATGGATCTCTCTGAAATTGTACTGCAAGGTACCATACCACAAAGGGATGGCTGGGATTGATTTTGGGGGTAATTGCCTCAAAATTTTAGGAATAAGGGGCCAAAAAGGGAAAAAAAAACAAGCATTTTTCTAGTTTCAGGACAATAACTTGTGTGTAAGTGTATGGATCTTTATGAAATTGTACTACAAGGTTCCATATCACAAAGGGAAAGCTGGGTTTGAGTTTGGGGGTAATTGACCCTAAATGTTTAGGAATTTGGGGCCAAAAACAAGCATTTTTCTAGTTTCCAGACAATAACTTGTGTTCAAGTGTACAGATCTCTCTGAAATTGTACTGCAAGGTACCATACCACAAAGGAAAGGCTGGGATTGAGTTTGGGGGTGATGAACCATAAGGGGGTTCAAAAAATTTGAGAGGGGATTTTTTTTTCATTTTTTTTCTTTAAAATTTTCCATTTTAAATTGGTTATTTCTGATTTATATATAAAAGCAAACAATAATGATATGGTTTGAATAGGTAAATTAAAAATTTTTAAGTTCTTAGACCACATTCATTCTGTGTCAGAAACCTATGCTGTGTCAAATATTTAATCACAATCCAAATTCAGTGCTGTATCAAGCTTGAATGTTGTGTCCATACTTGCCCCAATTGTTCAGGGTTCGACCTCTGCAGTTGTATCAAGCTGCGCCCAGCGGAGCATTTTATTGGTTATTGTTTTCATTCAAATGCAATTTTGTTTTGGGTAGTTATTATATATAAATGTGAGATACTCTATAGAAAATACCAAAGTTTTTAAATATTTAAGAAGGTTTATGTTATGCATTTTAACCACATTCTTCTATACTAGATACATGTATAAAAAGATGTGGTATGAGTGCCAATGAGACAACTCTCCATCCAAATCACAATTTGTAAAAGTAAACCATCATAGGTCTAAGTATGGTCGTCAACATGGAGCCTTGGCTCACATCGAACAGCAAGCTACAAAGGGCTGCAAAAATGACTAGTGTAAAACCATTCAAACCGGAAAACCAACAGTCTAATCTACTGTGGATTCATTATTATTCGTTGGATACTAATTTTTGTGGGTTTCGTGGATACAAGTGAACCATGAATTCATATGTTCAATGAATAACAAATTTTCTATGGGTTTTGCAAGCAGATATAAGCAAAACCAGGAAATCACATATTCTCGAAAATGCAAGTTTTCCGCAATCCACGAAAATTGATACCCACAGAAATAAATAAATCCACAGTATATAAAAAACGAGAAACACTTATGTACCACACAAACAAACAACAACTACTAAACATCCTTACTAAACTGTTTGGCCATAGACAGTCAGGGGACTTACTTAAATGAGTGATTTTCTAAATCACTGATTCAAGTAACATTATGTCCATAAAGGTTGGAAGTAAGAGTTGTCTTTCTTTAATAATCACCTATTTAAGTAGTACAAAATTAATCACTAGACTAAGTGATTTAATTTTATTGTAGCTTTAAATATAGAATACTAATGATCCAGGGACTAATTATGTTGCTACAATTATCAGAACCAACATCTGTGTTGATAGGATGACCGGGTCATGTCAGGTGATGACCTTGTACTAAATCTAGGATAATGACATAAAAATCACTTGTTTAAGTATTATACCTCAATTTCCTTCCAAAAAATCACTTCTTTAAGTATCATTATTTTAATAACCCCCACTAATTTCAACACCCCCGAACAGTGAAATTTTGATTGCGAACAGTAGAATTTTATTACATAATCTATAAGATGAAGCCTTGAATTTTACAGGAAAAATACTCCCACTGCTGGGAAAAATCTGTTAAGAAAGTATCAGTTCATTATGTAAAGCCATTTTTAGAGCATTTTTTCCACTAAAATAGAATTTGCAGCTAAATGATTGCATGAAAGGCATAAGCCTTGCTGCTTAAAAGAAGCAAAAAGTTCATTTTTTTCAACTTTACTAATGAAAAGATATTATCTAAACATATGTGTTTAAATTTTGGTAAAACTACAAAATCACAATTTGTGACAAAACTTCGAATTTGCTACTTAAATAAGTGATTTAAAAATCACTTGTTTCAATATGTCCCCTGACTGATAGAGTTAATGACCCAGTCTGTTTGTCCACTTTTGTTTGTCTGCCTGCACTCTGTATCCACAACTTTATATAGAGTTTTACTTACACCTTAGATGTCTTATGTATTTTTAAATTATTTTCAGTTTACAATCAAACCATTAGATAAGAAAACTAGTGATTTTGTATTTACTGCTCCTAAGTTACGGATCAATAAACTTGTAAGTATTGACAGTTATAATATGGGATAAAGGTAGTAAACTTGGTACATTTATTTATGACTGATATTGGTTAGTTCAAATGCAAGGTTTCCTAAATAAGTTTCAACATAACAAATATGTTTTTGGGTAGTCAGGAAAAATGTATGATGATGAAAGGGTCTTTAGTAATTAATGAATTAATTTATACACAAAGAAATATGTCATTAACCGAATTTGGGGGATGTATGGCCGGCAGATGGGCATCACGGTGTGCTGGAATCCGGGCGGGCAGCTGCCAAACAGTGTTCGTGCATTTACTCATGAACCGTTCAACCAAAGCTTTTCAAATTTTAATATGTTGTTACTGATAAAAAATGAAGGTCAAGTTCTATATTGTTGATTTTTCTCTTTCACCATTTTGGAATAAAGGTTCTTGAAAGATTGAAAAATGGTGTTTCCAGTCGTGACTATGCTTTAACTCATGAATCGTTCAAACAAAGCCTTTAAAATTTTCATATGTTGTTACTGTTGACAAAATTGAGGTTAAGTTTGATATTGACAATTTTCACTTGCACCGTTCAGGAGTTGTGGTTCTTGAAGGAATGAAAAATGAACAGCTCAACTAAGTTTTTCAAATTTCATGTGATTTTACTGATGACAAAATGGAGGTCAAGTTCAATATTGATGATTTCCACTTTACAGTCCAGAAGTTATGGTCCTTGTGATATTGAAAAATACCAGGACACATATAAATGATAAAAAATCTGGTTTGCTGTCACTTTGACAGCCTCTTGTTTTATATTTATTTTATGTATTAAAATTGTGTGTAGGCAATCATGATATATTTATGTAAATACATTTTTTTAATTTATTTTCGTTATTAAAAGTGTATGTAGGCAATCATGAATTACATGTATATATATATATACATGAAATTACATTGTTTTTAAATTATTTTAGGTATTAGAATTGTGTGTAGGCAATCATGAATTATTCATGAGGAGGAGGAGACCTGATTCAATGGAGATACAACAGATGAAGACTCATGCAAGAGAAGAAAAAGTCAGGAGACAGGTAATTTTTACCTTATTGCTTACATACAGTTGAACCTTGATAAACTGAAATAGAATTGTTCATGTACAGTAGAACCTTCATAGCTAAAATATAATTTTTCATGTACAGATGAACCTTCATTAGCTGAAATAGAATTGTTTATGTACAGTTGAATCTTCATGATCATAATCTGCAACATATAATTTGTCATGTCACATGTGCAGTTGAACCTTCATTAGCTGTAATAGAATTGTTCATGCATGTACAGTTGAACCTTAATAATCAAAAATATAATTGTTCATGTACAATCATACCTCAATAGAAAGCTCAAATAGAATTGTTCATGTACAGTTGAAACTTCATTAGCTGAAGTAGAATTGTTCATGTACAGTTGAACCTCCATATAATGCTCAAATTGAATTGTTCATGTACAGTTTAAATGTTGATGAGCTGATCTAAAAGGGACATTTTTCTGCTGATGAACTATTGGTGTTATGATCAACAAACATTTAATATGCCATTCTGATTATAATATAAAGCCTTTTGAAATGACGAAAACCTTTCTGATCAATTTCATCACTTTAAAAGTTTTAAAAAAATTGACAGTCACAACAGGTACCATAATTCTTTTTACAGGTAATTCACTTATGAATCCCTTGGGTCAGTAATTATCTTCAAAACTAATTCATATCAATTGAATATAAAGTGAGATATTTTTGTGAGTGATATTTTTTTGCTAATTACGTGATTACAATAAAATCGTGAAAAAATCAACTGACATCAATTAGATCTCTAACTTATACCAGAATAAGGCACAAGTATAAAAAGTAATTAAAACCTGCTTCATATTTGTTCCTTGAAATTGTGAAATTTTAACTCCACAAAAATAAACCATTTTAGAGTATCTGATTTTTCAACAAAACAGGGTTTTACTGTATCATTGTGTAATGCAGAGAATAATTTTATTGAAAATATTCATATTCATATCAAAAGATCTACAAATAAAAGTATTTAAATACCTGTATTATACATGTGATATGAGTTGAATTTAATATTTGTATTTTGCAGCAAGACAGAGCCCGATTAGCAAAAGAAAAGCAGTTGAAAGAAGAAGCTATTAGAGAGAAAGAAGATATGGAAAGAAAGTACTTACTGTTACAAGAGGAAGTGAGGAAAGCCCAAGAAGAATTGGTACGCATCATTTGATTGGTCACTTGTTTTTACAGTGAAATCTTGGTCAAAGTTTTACACAATTAATGTGATTACATAAATAAGAATCATTGGATATATAATTTTATCAAGTTTCACTAAAATTTCACAACAAGGATCTATTCTTAGTATAGTTAAACCTACTATAAAGGTTAGTTTAAACATATTTATTCATGGTGGATTGGGTAACAAGTTATTACAACTTATATTAATCCCTTTCTACTTTGCGGGTGTGAGTGCTGCCATGTAGCGGCATTAGCCTGCTCTTTTTTCGAAATCTACAAGGGTAGCTTTTCATGCAAGAGATATTGCTCTCTCTCTTAACACGGGTCAGCCATTTATTGTTCTCTTCTGACGGACTATCATCGTTACTCAAGACCATTCTCTCTAAAAGTGTCAAGGGAGATATAAAACTTTAAAGGTTACCTCTATAAAACAAAAACCTGTCTTTTTAGATCACTGTTGTCTTGTCCCACTGTAGTAATCATGCATTTTGAACCTCAATTCAATGGTCATCCTTCTTATAAGGTTGGTTTACTCTGATCTTAAGGTTCCCTTCATACGCAGGTTCACCAGCCAGACAACACTGAGGTTGTGAGTTTGAATCCTTCACTTGGCATGTGCACTTGACTCCAATCTTAATTGACTAGGATTGTCATTTTTCCTACAAAAGGTTGTGGTTCTCCCCGGGCATTCCGGCTTCCTCCACCAATATCAACTGACCGCCACGAAAAAGCACAATAGAGTTAAAAGAGGTGTTAAATCACCAATCAATTTTTGAAAGAAATAAACAAATGAAAAGTGGTGCACTCCTGTTGCTCAATCCCACCAAAGAACAACCAGAGCGGATCATCAAGATGTTGCTGAATGGTACTCACAATTGGCAGACTTTAACTCCTTGCAGACATGCTTCAGAACTAAATCATAAAAATAGTAATCACATCAAACGTCGCTTCATTTCACATTTTTAACTCAGCTGAAAAAAATGTAAATGTTTACTTTATAAAATATATAACGGTCAATCTGAACAAGTTTTGTTTTCCTTACTATCAGTAAACAAACCAACCCGTTTGATATTTGGTTTTTAGTATGATTTATTATGAAATAAACTTTGTATAGTGTGAATTCGTTTATTTTAGTATATACCAATTTTCGTGGATTGATGAAAAATTGTATTCTAGTGGATATTTAATTTCGTGGTTTTGCAAAAGTAAACATACAAGGCTTATGTACTATAAAACAACAAAAATAGGTATCCAAGGAAAAACAATAATGAATCCACAGTATGCATCAGATTAATTTTCAGTTTCTCATAATTGTTGTTTTAGGAATTATTCCTACGATAAATGTGCATTTTTAACACTAGGTCTTCAATTTCAGAAAAGATCTCAGGAAACAACAGAATTATTGGCTGAAAAAGCTGATCTGGCAGAAGCAGAGGCAAACCTGTTAAACCAGAAAACATGTGAGACTGAGGCTGAAATACAAAGATTTAAAATGTCTGCTGTTAAGGTAACAAAACATTACCAAAGGTTATCAAAGGCCTTATCTTATGTCCTATTTATATTGTGAAGACTGTTATTCATATTTTAATTTAGGAATAAAGGTTGAAAGAATTGTATTAAAGATTAAAAGTCGTATTTTAAGTACTGTAAATTCAGAAATTATTGCATGCATTTATTATTGCAATTATTTTAAGAAAGGACAAGATTGCAAGAATAATTATTGCGATTCCAGGAAAATCTTCATACACTATTAATATGTATCAGAAATGTGAGTTCTTTTAATTGCTATTATCACGCAGTCACATTATTCGAAAAAATAAAAATCATGCAATAGTTTATGAATTTACTGCACTGTAAATTTAGAACTCTGTGCATATATTATTGAATTTTTCGATGAATGAACAAAACGAGAGGGTATTGTGATTTCAATGAATCCTGCTTACAAATAAATTAATGCTATCAAAATTTAAAATGTATGTGTTTTTTAAATTTTTTGTTAATTTATTTGGTTTTAATTTTCACAATAAATCGTAAATTTTCTGAATTTACAGTTGCTGATTTTCTTAATGTCCTTAAAACAATTAATTTCCTTGTGTAAAGTGTGCATAAAAAAAAAAATCTGTAAACTCATGCATCATCCTTCTATGATTTTCATACTGCAGTATATTCCATGTAAAGTAAAACCGAAGATTACATTTTGTTACTGCTTCATCACACATATTAATGGTCTTATATGTTAAAATAACCAATGATCATGTCATTAAACATTATCCCTTTTTTTTTCAGACAGAGGAAGAGAGAATGTTAATGGAGTATAGAGCCAGAGAGGCTGAAATGATTGCTACAAAGTTGTTAGAGGACTCAGAAAGGAGGTATTTGACATAAACTCAAATTAGTAACTGATAGTATTAATAAACTAAGTTTTGGAGAGTATATAGGAATGCCCCTGTCCACCAATGTGCTTTGTTAGTAAAATTGAGAATGGAAATGGGGAGTGTGTCAAAGGGACAACAACCAATCAAAGAGCAGAAAACAACCCAATGGCCACTGATGGGTTTTCAACAAAACCGTGAAAAAAATCCCACACACCCCAAAACTTATCTAAAACTCAGCTAAACAAGTAACTCATCTAAAACGTCTAAAGAGATGATGAAACTGCACACTTTCACAAATTATTACCTTATTATGTGGATAATGATATATAATCTTGATCCTAAAATTTATAAGGGGAGATAATCAAATTCAATATTGCAAACTGTGGTTATTTGCATACCTCATACAAAATTTGCTACCTGTATAATGTTATGGTAGATTTAATGGATTAGGACGGAAGTTCCATCTTAATCCTCTTCTTTATATTTCAATACTTATTATTTTTTTAATTTTGTCCAGCTCATTGATTGAGGTTTTGTGCACCCTTGTTATGATGCCATTTTTTGTGCAAAGCTTTTTTTTTTTTTGGTAATCTAATTTTTATAAGCAACACATGCAGGTGAAAATATATATGAAACTACTATACACATTTAGAAAAGGGAACTTTATGAGTTGATGTGATTATAAAAGGTATTGAAAAGAGCAAAGGGCATTATAAGGATGAAAATCAGTATTTGGATGTGCAGTTGAGTATTAATATTAAGATATTTCATAAGATAAGATTGAGAATGGAAATGAGGAATGTGTCAACGAGACAACAACCTGACCAAAGAGCAGGGCTTAAGCTGGGCCCTTAACAAAATTGTGTACTAGTTCAGCGAAAATGGACGTCACACTAAACTTCGAAACATATAAATGAACTAAAAACAACATGTTTATGTTGCCAATAAGAAAAAAAATATTATTTTATTCAAAACATTTCAAACTCATTAATTATTTAATGGAAATTATTTTTCAGAGCTAAAGAAGCAGAACAATTAAAGGTAGATTTATTACAGTCCAGGATGGCAGAAAAAATGGCTAAAGAGAGGCTGATGGAAATAACCAGGAGTAATGTTTATCAGGTTTGTTATTATGATCCTCCATAAAAATAGGAGCACCTCTTATTTGTGTTTGATAGTGATATACAAAACTTCAACTGATGTATATGGTTAAAATTAAATAGGGTAAGCTTCTTACCTTGTTAGTAAGAATACATATCATACAGATGGATTTTTTCTATAAATGAGAATTCACAGTGGATTTCAATAAAATATGATTTTTGTCAGCTATTTTATACATTTCTTTGGAACTATTTTGAATTTTTCACTCTTAAACTGAGATTTACTAAGTGAACCAAAATGGAAAATTTGAGTTTCTCTACATCTACGTCTGCATCACAAAAAAATACGGATGCAAATTGATTTGAATGACATGTGTTCCTCATTTTTCAATTACCAAATATGAAACAAACCTGCAATGTTTTTTTTTGCCAGAAATGGATCTTGCTTTTAAGTTTGCCATTAAAGAAGTCTCTAAATAGTCTGTTTTACATGTCACATTACAAAGAAATGTACAAGAAATATTTGGTTCTATGTTGTGAATTATATAAATATATTAATATGCAGTCGATGCACAATAAGTCAAAGTCAAGGGAACCAAACTTGGGTCTTTTAATTTGTTCCATAATTATCTTAGGTAAAATGTCATCTACAAATATAATTTTTCGGCATTTTGGCAAATAAAAGTTTTACATGCCATATTCATTCTTATTCAAAGATTTTGATTTATATAGAATTTATAATCAGTATTTCGAGTTTAATTTTCTTTTCCTTTAAAATTGTCTTGCACTTAGAACTTTGACACACCAGGGTTATCTAAAAAGTATGTTCAATTTTCTTTGAGGAGACATTGTTATATATTTGAGTTAGACTTAGATTCAGAATCAAATGAGTTCGATTTATATGAGAAAAAAAAAACACTTTGAACAAACTAGAAATTTACCTTTACTGAAAAATACATTAAGTTATCAGAGTTTTTGACACAACAAGATTCTACTGTATTTTAAGAGTATTAGCAACAGTTTTATACCAAAATAATTATATATGCCTACCTGTTTGCTGTGATTCTTTCCTGCTATATATATTTATTTATATGTGTAATTCTCTCAAACACTTTATACATATATATCTTTACATTTATAGCAATACTGGACTGAATTCCGTCTTCCATTATATAATACACAGGTTCAAGTATGCACTTAGGACATTTGTTTTGTATAAAGCACTGCAGATCGATCAATGTTATGTTTTGTTATCCTGTCTTCTACAGTAAAATAATTAGACATCATATTTTGAGGGAGCCTAAGTAGTTCAAATACTGTGTCACTAACCTGTCAACACTGAGGTTGTGAGTTTGAACCCCTCACATAGCAAGTGTGTTAGACTCCTATCTTAATTGACAAGGATTATCAGTTTGCCTGCCAAAGGTATTAGTCCTCTCCTGGCACTCAGGCTTCTTCCACCAATTAAAAAATGACTGCCATGAAATAGCCAAGAGTGCTGAAAGTGGCATTAAACATCAACCTTATTTTATAGTGTTTTTTTGCATTGCTTGCAAGGAAATAACGTGATTTCACCATGTTCACATTAAAAAAAATCTAATAATTTTGCATGTAAAATAAATCCTATAATTTCACTTGTCTGACATCATACAACAAAGCTTTCGATGTCGTTGCATTGAAACAAACTCGGAATGAGTAGAAAAAGATATAATTCCATGTATTTTCTACTTTTTTTCCATTAAAAGGGCCATGTTCAATTAGATAAAAAGAATAACTAATCGAAGAAATGAATTATCAAAAAATATTCATTTTGTGACCAAACAGCATTGATAATTAAGTCATGTGCTACATGCTTAATAATGCAGCATTTGTGAATTGATAAGTTGTTCAGTCACTCATTGAATATATATATTTGAATTCTTTGATTAGATGTTTAATATAGAATAAAATGGATACCTGAAGGGGATTGCTTTTCTACCTTTACTGTTGTTTTCTTTAAAATGTTATTAGTAGTAATGTGGATTCATTTGTTTTTGTGGATTGAGGAAAACTTTCATTCTTTTATTTTGTGATTTTGCCAAAGTCTGCGTACAATCCTATAGAAAATGTGTCATTCCTTCAGCATTTATATTTGTGATTTATCTGTAACCACAGAATCCATGAAAATTGATATATCCCAAAAATAATGAGTCCACAGTAATGATTTAAACAAGAATTTATCAGTAGTTCTTTGGCCAGTTTAATTTGACGGAATTTGAATATTGTGCCAGTTGTTCAAAAAGATTCTATCTGCAGTGTTTTAAACTTGATGAATCTATTTTCTGTTCTTGCTTTATTTGCTATTATGTGCCAAATGGTTTTTGTACTGTTTTGTGGTTGAATGTATAAAGTTATAAAATAGTAATTTTATCTTTATCAGGTGCTCTATTTCTAAGCATATGAGTAATCTTTAATGATTCTTGAAAGAAAACATATATTGTTATGGCTATTCCATTAAAATGTATGTGTGAGGGTAGGAAGGGACTTTCAAAATATCCCTACAACCAAGAACCATTTTTTAGATAATTTTGCATAATGGTAATAGACGCATACTGAAAAAAGACCCATGACCCACATTCAATAACTTAACTTCCCTTCCTACCCTCCCACATACATTTTAATGGAATAGCCCTTACTTACTTTTATGTATATGATTTTAAATCTTGAAAACTTTGCAATGTCTTTCATTTTTTGCAAAAAATGTGACGGTTAGATTTCGTAAAAATAAAAACTATAGTACTTTAAATTTGAAAGCGTTATTTGTAGGCAGCATTTCTTAAAATTGAAATAATTAATCTTGCATTTTTATCCTTTGTTCAACAATTGCATTCAAAATGCTGACAAAAGTTTCTGAATTTAAATAAGTTCACAGCAGTAATAAGAAATAATTTATTGAGGAAGTAATTAACAAAATATGTCCGATATATTTGTAAATATTTGTTTCCTTAAATGCTTGTATGCACTGCATCACTTCTGGATTTTGATTTGTTTTATATTTTTTTTTGTATTGTTGGTTTTGTTTTGGATCTTTTTCTAGTTTGTTTTTTTACTCTTTTCAAAAGTGCATGACAAAACTTTAGCAGATTTTTTTTTCAAAAACGAGAACAGATATATTGTAACAGTATGTTCTGTTTCAGATAGACTGTTTAATTTACAATTTGCTTTTCATTCTTCAATGGAAGTGATTTATTTGATATTAGTTTTTCAATACAGGTAAAGGTGTAGGCTCTATATGAGGGGTGGACAGGGGTAAGATAACATGGGATAGCAGGAGTCAGGGGAGGGAAACAGGAGTGGGAGTCAGATGGCGGAAAACTAGAGGGAGAGTGGGAGATAAATATAGGGATATGCTGGACAGAATGACAAGTCTGTATTTTTGGGGAGTAAGGGGGAGGGAAGTGAAAATCTTGGATCTTTCTGTGTCCACCCCTACTATATAATAAAAGTTCCAGAAGTTGATCCATATATGTCTTTATCTGTCAGTTTAACAAAAGATACACCATTGTATAAAATTTCATAAAAAAGCAATGGACCTTATTACTGTTTAATTGATACATTTCAGCCCTCATATCAACTGCCAGAATTGACTTCAGATATAACAACAGATCTTAATGACGCCGAGCTCGGAGGAGATTTGTTTGGAGTTGGTGATATGGATCAACTCTCACTTGAAATTGAGAAGGAAAGGTAAAAATGTATTTTGTAAGGAATTTATTCATATTTTTAACAGCAATAACGATGGTTACTAAATAGAAACTGACCAGATTGTTGAATGTTTTGAGTGAAGCTAACTGTATCACGTCATGTATATGCTTCTTAGTTAGTAGAAATTTAGAAATGTTTTGTGATGAATTTTACTTACTTAGGTATCTACTCGAAGTATTTATCACCAGAAGTTATTGATAGTAAACCTTTAAATGTGATGAGAATTGGTAGCAGAGTGGTCTAAGAAGTATAACTACTGTATCACTAGCCTGTCAACACCGATGTTATGAGTTGGAACCCCGCACATGGTAGGTGTGCTCGACTCTATTTTAATTGACTAAGATTGTCTGTTTTCCTACTGAAAGTCAGTGGTTCCCTCCGGGCACTCAGGCTTCCTCATAAAAAAAAAAAAATGACCGCTGCGAAATAGCCAATAGTGCTACAAGTGCAATCAACTTGATCGATCAATTTAAATGTGATGATTATTACTTTTTTTGTAAAAACAGGGTGGAATACATGGAGAAATCTAAACATCTTCAAGACCAGCTACGAGAATTGAAAACTGAAATAGAAGTGCTAAAAGTAGAGGAAAATGAAACAGATTATGATAGATTACACGAAGATGGTATACAGAGAGGAGATAGTAAATATTCCACACTCAGACAGGTAAGTGAATTTACAATTTGAAGGTGGGAATATAAGGAGATGTGGTATGATCGCCAATGAGACAATTATCTACCAGAGACCGAAGGACAAGGTAGTGTTTCCTGCAGGATGTTTTAGCATGGTATGGCGCCCTGCCGTGTTTTCTGACGCCCTGCCCTTTTTAGGAAAAAAATTTGGCGCCATGCCCCTTTTCCGTCATATTTTAGAATGCCCTGCCTTAATTTAATATCGGTTCTGCAATTCATCTTTTAGCAAGACCATTTAGAGTTATTTCCATTGGAACGAAAATCTAAATTTTAATGGCCGACATTTTATTGAATTTCGTAATGTTTGAACAGTTTTGAAGCGACAGAGTACAAATACGATTCATGATTGAATCTAAAAGTGACAACATCGATTTGTACCTCTTCGAATTTAAAATGTAGACATCTGAAAAGAGAACCAGGCAACCGTTTGAGTTATAATTTTACGATGCATGGAATGAAACATTACCACTGATAATTTACGTAAACAATCCGATGTTTGTTTATATTTTCTATTTATACTATTCGATCGGTCTAGACGTCGGATTGGGTGAGAATTTACGACGGATGTCATACTGTTAAATTAATAAAATTAAAGTTAAGAATATAGCTGATATAGCTTTGAATACAGTAGTGTCCGGTAATTCTGCCCGTCCGGTAAACCCGCCCACTCCCATTTCTTGAGTAATTGTCACTTCCGTTAATATTTCGTCTGCTATTTTAATCATAGGAACTGTACTTATCATCACTGCATGTCAAATTTTAAAGAAAAATTCTTTATTACGAAAATATCTAGTGATATATAGAATACAGTTCCTAAAGCTAACGATAATCATATTATTTCTTACAAAACTCATTTCTGACTTGAAAATTTTTTTGGGATTATCTGGAATCTATTTATAAGTGGTCTATTAATAAATAGATCGCCTTTTTCTTTCATAAATTTGTGATAAACTGGCCCTCCATACATATTAACTGCGCGTGGGAGGATTTACCGGACAAACACATTTCCGATAAAAATACGGATGACCCACTTGTTTTGTTGATTTTAAAATTTATTTCAGATATTTTTTGGGAAATGAGATAAATTACTCAAAGTTGATTTGTCAGTGCAGTGTTTTCCATTCGGCATTTAAGCCGGATGTGCCGACCACCTTCTTTTTAAAGCCGACCACCTTTACATTTTAGGAGGTGGTCGGCTTTTTTTTCAAATTCTGGATTTTTTTCGGTTCCACACAAAATCAACAACGTTTCAATAATAATAAAAAAAAAAACCAGATGGAATATAAGATGAAAAGCTGCAGAATATGTATAGTAAGTCTTGCTATACAAGGTAGCTTTGATTGGGATAAACATGTGAGATCCAAAAGGTATTTGACACTTCTTTTGTGCATCTAAAAGCAATGCATTGCATATGCTCTTGGTCATGCAAAGTCCACTTTCACAACACTTCCTTAGACAATCAGTCTCAGTGATTCAGTATTAAAGTTTATAACGATTTATTGATAGAAATGAGGCAGTTGCACAATGAACATGATCAAAATTCTATTACCTGATTATAGAAGTGATAATCTTATTACAAAATGGAATTAAATTACCAACCTAATATGCATATCTTCAATTCTTACCAATAAATATGAAACAATGGTATATTCGATTAAATCCCTATCCATTATGGTGCCTTATATCTATGTAAAGAGTGCCCTAAAAGTGTAGTCTTCCGCACAAAGGGTGCCCTTAAAATGTAGCCAATCGCGCTAAGAGTGCCCTCTGAGAAAAAAAATTACCCTGCCCTTTTCAAAAGCTACAGGAAACAGTAACAAGGATACAAATAACTACAGCTCACTGTATTCCCTTCAACAATGAGCAAAACCAAAACTATGTTGTTTAAAAAGACCAAGCATGACATAAAATAAATAAGAAACAATTAACAATAGAAAACCAACAACTCTGGTTATGATAAAAACAATAAAAGAAAAACAAATGACAGACTGCAACCATTGACAACATCTGGACTTGTGTAATAGGGGACGAAGTCCCCTATTACAGTGAAAAAATCAAAAAAAATCAAAAAAAAAAAAAAAAATCGGGAAAATTTCGCGAAATTTTCATTGTACTAATGAACTCAAAATCGTTAACTTTTTTTTTTGTAACTTTTTTAAATTCCTGCATTTGCACAGAAATCCTTTCCTTCTTCCGGTCTCGTTTGTTATGAGACTTTGAGTGAAATATATATTTATCAGTCCAGTAAAATATAGGAAGGAACACAATAACAATTTCATTTCTAATTATTCTTTGATATGAAAAAACGTTACCTGATGATAGCATTTCTTTGTTTACATTGAATATGACGTCATAACTAGAATAACATCACAACTAAAATCCCTTATAACAGAACCAAAATCGGAAACGTTACGGTATTTCCGTTTCTTTTTTAACAGATTTAGAACTTAAAATATGTTTGAATTAAAAAAAAATAATTTATATAGACTTCGTCCCCTTTCACAGGTAATGCCTGTCCATATTATATAATCAGAGAGGGAAAACTAAATGATATATCCTGGTGATGAACACAATTAACAATAAATTTTATCCTCAGACAGGAAAACTGCCACATGTTTAATATACATGTATTAAGTAAGAAATCTCATGAATAATTGTGTATAATATATGATAACAACTGTCCTCTAAGAGTCCAAGTGACCTGGATATCAGCAACTTAAGGTCACTGTACAGCCTTAATCAGCTACACCCATACTGTATAGTCAGCTATATAAGGCCCAGACATGACAAAATGTGAACAATTCAAATAAGAAAACCAACAGCCTTATTAATAACAAAACAATTAAGAAAAAAGTTATGACAAAAGGCAACAATGACAACCATGCTCATATGAAATTATTGCTATTTTGTTACTGGGCAACTATAATTTATGAAGTCTTGATATATGGGAACAAGCTTCATCTGCTTACCGTGTGACAATTTTTCACTTACTTCAATGATCTAATTCCTATTTGCAGAAAATACATATAGACAATATTCACTGCTGGTGGACGTTTCTAGTCAGCACTTTGGTGTTGACATGAATATCAATTATATGGTCATTTTTATAAATTAACTGTTTGCAAAAGTATGAATTATTCGAAATACTTAGGATTTTCTTATCCCAGGCATAGATTACCTTAGCCGTATTTGGCACAAAATTTTGGAATTTTGGGTCCTCAAAGCTCTTCAACTTTATACTTGTTTGGCTTTCTAACTATTTTGATCTGAGCGTCACTGATGAGTCTTATGTAAACAAAACGTGAGTCTGGCGTATCAAATTATAAGCCTGGTACCTTTGATAACTATCAGTACATTGTAGGAAAATATAAAATTAGTTTGTACAAGCTTTTAGAAACAGAGAGAAAAGTAAAGCTCACAGAGCTTTTCTCTTGCTTGGTAGCGAGTTCAAATACATTTTATGTTTTCCTACAATATATGAATATTGTTTTTATCCTGCATTTAACATTTTATATGCTTGAAAGTACATCACAAAATTTATTTATCTTTAAATCTTAATTATACTTTTTCTATTTCAGGCCAAAGCCAATACAACCCAGTCTAGAGTAGCTTTCTTTGAACAGTTATGATAACCATTATATAACTTATCAGTATTTGGTGCCAGAAAGTATTTCTTTGTATAAAATGTGATTCATGGCTTTTATCGAGTAAAAGTGCTGGAAAAAGTACTTTGAAAAAACATTATGATAATAATCCACCAGAATATATTTTATAATCTTAAAATATTTAATGTGTGTCCCAAATACCTCAAAAAGTTTTTTTTTTAGAAAAGCAAACTTTAATCATGTTATTGCATTTAAATGGTATATACAAGTTTAAGGAAGCAATATCTTCAAAATTCATTAACTGCAGCATGAACTTGTGTTGTGTTGTCATTTATGACCTGGAAAACAAGAAGATTCACAACTTGTGAAATGCAAATTGTGTATGAACATATTTTTAGACAGTTGTTTGACAATGTGCTATTAGAATGTATAAATATGTATGGAGAATGGTTATAGTACAGTACACATTTTTACACAATTTTTGTTGAAAGTACACAGAATTTTGTGGAAAAATATTGAATATGAAAGTCTGTATACTTTATTTTTTTTAAGTTCTTATTTTCTATTCTTTATATTCTAGCACCCCATAATTCTCTATTCCTTATTTTTAAGACTATTTTTCATTATTTTGTGGCCATTTTTTCTGTAGTGTAGGTTCATTTTTCTCTATTCTGTAAACCCCAACCAGACCCTTGACTATGGGACACACATTACATGAAGTTTTCATTTTTATACTGAAATGCTTATATTTTACATTTTATAATGTTATTGATGTTGATATGTGAAATCAAACTTGAAAAGTGTTGAAATTTTGTGCTTACACTACCAAAATATGAAATAAAGACAGTTTTTGTTTCAAAAGTAACTGATAAAAGTAGAAACAGATTTCATTGATAAATTTGTTTTTATATTATTTTTTAAATTTTAGAGAAAAATTGTAATTAATAGGTCATTCAGTGTTCTATCTAGGATTTAAAAGAAGGGGGGCACAGTTTTAAGATATAAGGCCCATTAGTGTGGGTTTTGTCAAAAAAGGGACACTTGATCATGTTTGTATATAAAAGAAAATAAAATAGTTTGCCATGGTTTGGTGGGGTTTGTGTTGCCATGACATTGTCAGTTTGTTTTAGACCTGTGACTTTGAGTGTCCTTTGGTAACTTTTGTATCTCTTTGAGTTGATAAATGTTTTTTAACTGGACTAATGTAAAGAGCTTTTTTAAAAATCAAACGATTTTTTTCACATTGAAAAATATTTATTTCCGCCAGAAAACAAGAACACACAGGACAGGACTGTAAGGCAAAAAAAATCAAATTAAGGTTGTTTGATGTTGCCTACCTACCCACCTAAATAGCAGCCTACCCGAAAAAATTAAATGACACAAATCAGTTAAATATTTTTATAAATATTTTTTTCTTTCTCTAATGTCTTTTTCTTGTCTAAAACAAGTAACTTATGTTGTTGGCAAAAAAAAATCCCTACCTACCTAGCTACCCAACACTACAAGGCATCGGTAGGCAACTGTAAATTAAGAATTTTTTTAAGGTGGCCTGAAGGCAGAGAGGTTTACAGAATAGGAAGAGAGGAACTGCGCCCCTCTATTATGGATTAGCCAGGACACTGTAATATAGTTTCACTTTCTATCCATGCTTAAAAGTTGTTTTAGGATTGTTGATACCTTTTTAACAAATATGAAGACAAAATATGGTATTTTGACTTTTGAGTTCAGTATGTGTACAAGATACGCATCTATTAAGTGCTATTTTTAGCAGTGAATACAGTTGTTAAGTTTCATGCTATGTTTGTTCATAACAAGATCTGATATTTTTATTATTGAGTATGCTTTTAGAATGTGCAATACTTTTTCTAGCTATTTATATTATTTGTGCTATTATTGGTTGTTTCATTGTAGAATAATGTAGACTGGTTCCTGGTCGTATGCATGTATATATTTCATCCAGATACCAGTCTAAGCAATTGCAAACTGATTTTTTACCCATGACTCTGAAGTTTATATAATGTCTTTCTACCAATATAAATACATATGGATCTGGTGAGGGCCTTTCTAAACATTGATGTGCAAGGGCAGGTAGTTTTATATTTTGTCATTGGTCATTTATGGTTGTATGTCCACTTGTTGTATACAAAATTACTTAAAATAAAATGTATATTTGTTTTGGGGGGATTTTAGGAGTACATTTCAACCTTCTCACATACATTTTAATTGAAAAGTCCTTAGCAATATTACCAGATTATTGTCATTTACCAAACTACATTTTATTTAGTTATTAATTATATTTTATGTGCTATACAGCAAAGCTGTTTATATATTACACATTTAATTGTCAAATGTAGCCTGGTTCCCTGTTTTGTTCTCTGAGCTACCTGTCTATACTTGTTCACAAGGTTCATTTTTCATAGGACTGTTGTTGTTTTTTTTGGGGGGTCAAAATTCTGACACAAACAATTGTGCATACATTTTGTTGAGAAATTCTCGAAAAGCTTTACCTGGAACTTGTATGACTATAACTATGACCTCAATAAGTTATGAAAACTTTAACTAAACCAATAAAGATCAAGCTATTTGGTAGTTACTAAATATATTAAATAGAGGTCAAATTTTCAAACCATTACAAAGGGAGAGGTAGGAAGGCGACTCATCCTGTATTAAATAATGTGATTAAATCCAGAATTTCAGGGAAAATAATGTGTCCGTTCCTGCAGCACAATATAATTAAACCCCTTATTCCCGACGATTTAACTGGCTATTCTCGAATTCTTGTGAAAACCATGGCTCTATCCTGTAATCATTCGAATTTTAATTCTCTTTCTGTCAAAATACTTCTTAAATGTTTAATTTATAACACAAAATTACTGAATATTTAGGAAGTTAGAATTTTAGCAACGACATTAATATCCAAGTTGAAATTTCTTTACTCCTTTCCCGCCACCTAGTGATTGTGTATCAAATATAAAGGGACATTTGGTCTATACCATCTGTATTTGATTACTACTCAATAACGATAATTCTTACTCAAATTTAAACCAGGTTTTGGCTGGTGAATTGGAGAAGAATAAGGCCACAATATTACCTATTGATTAATGTAGCATTATATGACATGTGTTCAAGAGAAAAAAAAATCAAATTATTTCATTGTTCATTGTACATTGACATCAATATCATTGGAATTATTTATTGATTTTTGTAAAAGATTGTATAAAACCTTTTTTTATAAAAATATAAAGCCTGCTGGAGTGAATTTTTGTATAAACCTGATAATTTCAAAAATGTGTACAATGTGTATAGTACTTGACACCACTCTTTTGTTTCCATAATTTATTTCATGTGGTCAATTTTATTTTATTTTATTTTTTTCACAACCTAGCAAAGATTGTAAATGTTAGAAATTATGATTTGTACAAGCTATATGTACAAGCGTTTTTATAATTTTGACAACTTCTTTCTTTCAGCAGGCAAAAAAAAACAATTAAACCAGCTTAATATTTTCTCAAACATTAAAATACTTCAACCCAAGATTAGCCACTCTCTACTTTGACAGACATCTGCTAGATTCTTATTAGTTTTGATTTTACCTAAACTAGATTCTAAGTTTTAATAGTATTATATGCTGTGGATTCTTCTTTTTTTGTGGGTACCAATTTTTTGTGGATTGAGGAAAAAATGTATTTTCGTGGATGGTCTACTATCAAGCCTAGATAAAATTTATAGTTTGTTCAACATTTAAACCCTTCGTTTTAACTTACCCTCCGAAAATACACAAAAAATAGGTATCCCACGAATAATCAATAATTAACAGTAAAGACCTTTGTATTGGTGTAAATTTTAAGGCTTTGGCATGTAGTTACGCAAATATGACAGCAATGAACTAAATCAAAGAAATTGTGCTTATTTTATCCAATAATGTTTAGAAATTTGAAAATTACCCATTACTTGTACAATGATTATGTACAAATTAAAAAAATATGTGCAAGGAGCTTATTTTTTTACTGTAAGAACCAACTTATTTATCCAGTTGATTTATTTTTACTTTCGAGAGTAGATTTTCTGAATAGGTTAACAATTTCTGTTGAAGACAAAATTTACTAATAGGATATCTTATTTCACGTTAAAAATGGAAAGACAGAGTAGTTATTATCATATAGACAAAAATGCATGTTTCTTGAAATGAAATCCTAAAGAAAAGGAAATGTTTGCGCTTCATGTCAGAACATAGACTATCACCAGTTAGTTTTATAAGGTTGTTTAAAGCAGAGTTGGTTCTATGTCTTAACATGGCATTTACATGTGTATCTGTAATAAACTGTGAACTAAAAAAACTTTCTTGCTTTTTTATTGGATTGTGTACATCACATTCGGAGACAATTTGGAATTGACATACAATTTATCTATTTTTTAGTGTGACATAAGTTATTGCTATCAATTCGCCTCTTTTAGAATCTAAAGGACTATGGGTAATCTCATTGTTCTTACTCCAAAATGAAAATAACGTCACTTCATTGGTTAAATTTTCATTGTTAAGGACATTTATAACCAATCACCGCGTTTTGGTGTAAACTTTTGAAAATATTACTCAGAATGCATTAGATTCTGAGACGGCCAATTAGATACCCAAATTACATATGTGTGCTTACAGACAATTTTACAAGTGTCCAGGAACACACACTATTAGTTCATCTCTTCATACAACATTTGACATCCCAACCTTTTACTCAAGTATTCCTCATTGATAGGTAAACAAAAGTAAATTTGAAAATCTTGGTTTAAAACGGGCTAGGATGATATCCTGTTGAAATTAGACAAAAGAAAAGGAACTCTGTATTGGAGAATGTAAAAAAGAAATGATTTATGTTTTCGGCCAAATAAATATATATTATTGTTACAGCCTTTAATCAAGCCAAAAACTATTTTGGTATATTTGAATTGTTCACATCTGTTTCTTTGGGCTTTTAAAGTTTAATGTAAGTGAATATGTTTTTTTTTTTTTTTTTCATCTTATATGTATGATTATAATTAGATTAAAGTATGGACCTTGGAGATATTTGTAAACTTTTTAATTCAAGACAAATTGTCACAAGACAATAGATTATGGTAGGTGCAAATATATGTGGATCTTTAATGCACATATGCATAAGCATACATTCTGCAGAAAAAAATAAAGGCTGCCATGCCAAATAAAGGCAACAGTAGAATACCGCAGTTCAAAAGTCATAAATCGATTGAGAGAAAACAAATTCGGATTACAAACTAAAACCGAGGGAAACACATCAACTATATACTAACATGTTTCCTAATTTGTATGATGAGACTTCATCCATAGGCTTCCTAAGAAAAACAAAAGATGTTAGCTGTATCCATTAACTTGTGGTCTGTCTTCTCACTGCATAATTTAAGTTTAATTATGATGATTGATATATCAGTTAACTTGAAAAAATACAAGATACGGACAATGGGTTCAATGTAGAACTTAAAGGATTAGATTTCAATCATCGCATTGTCAACTTTACATTTTCATTGGTTAAGATCAAGCAGCACACGCTTTTGTAGTAGATATCTGACAGCTAATATAATATCCCAGTGCTTATGCTTCCTATCAAGGTTTTTGTGATACTGTGTTAATTTATAAAAGGATGTAATTAAATCAATGGTGCTTAATCTTAAGTACTGTTGTGGTTATATTTACAGTTTTAGAAACGCCATCATGATTTTGTTGACTACACGAAGGGTGAATGATGAGTATTAAGAACAGCTTACTTTAGAAAGACATTTGTCTATTGTCGTTTGTCTATTGACCATGCAATGTCTTTTCGAGTGCCCTTTGGTATCCCTTAGTTGTCCATAATTTTATCGTCCTGAAAATGCATGTCATACAATTGACGTTAAGCAAGCAACAATTAATCCATTCATGTTTTAGACAGTTATAAAAAAATTGTCTTTAACCAATACGTTAATTTAGATCAAACATGACCAAGAGTACAAATAATGATCTGATTTTAAGACCTTCAGCATATTTTTACACCAACCGTCCCACATGGCCACTATGGTATTCAGGGTAAACATAGAGTCCTGTAGGAAAGCATGCAGATAGCTTCTTAAATAACCTTACACAAAAACTCACATATTCACGTTATGTTAGGATATGTCTAGGGAAGTATGACAACTTATCACGAACATAAGGTCACTCTTTCCTATATTCTATACTTTATTTACTTTGATTCATTTCTGTTGATGAATTAACAATATGTATAAGATTGAATTTCATTTTTAGCTAAAGTAGGAGACTTACCCTCATATAACCTGTTTTATCGGTGTGTCTTATGGAAGACAACATT